GCACATCTGTACATGTATGTGAGTTTTAAGCCACTGGGTCTGGGACTTGAACTGTGGTCAACTACAGAAGTCCAGCAGTGGAATCATTATGCCATCTGCTGGTCTGAACGAGCTGTCATTTTAAGATAAAGTATGAACACGTATTCACTTATTGCATCTATTCAGTGAAACATGAAATAGCCATGAATTAGAGTCATGGCACTGCAGGCTTAGAACCCACCTTCTCTGGGGTGAATGACATGTGCAGCATTCTGACAGGGACAGAAGGGTAGTAAGTCCACCCTTTCACACGGTACTAGTATTAGTTATGGATTTGCAAGCCATTAAATTCACTTAGGGACCCCAATACTCCCTGGAGTCTTTGAAGATCTCTTCTGCTGGGGCCAGATGGCAACACAGGGGTAGCACGACTGACTGACGTGGAAAGGTCCTGGGTTCACAGCCCGGGACCTCTCTGCACAAGCCAGGTGGGTGTGTACACGCCCATGTAGAGCTGGCTGAGGCTTGGGGTAGTTTGTAGCATCAAGACCCTGTTAGGCATGTCTTTTTCTCTCTGTCACCCCCCACAGCCCCATCTCTCATGAAATTAACTTTTTTAAAAAAAAATTACAAAATAATGCCAACAAGTAGCATCGTGGTTAAGGTGCTGGACTCTGATGTGGTCAACTGCAGTTCGAGTCCATGACCAGCAGCTTGAAACTCACAATGGGTGTGTGTGCGTGCGTGCATGCCTAAGATCCCGAGATGAGAATGGGAGAAGGGATTGCGGGGGTGGACATTTCCCCCAGGGAGTGATTTCTCTCTTTCTGTCTCTCTGTCTTTTTATGTCTCTCCAGTGAGCACACGCACGCTATAGCCAAAATCTCTCTCAAAAAAAAAAAAAAAACCCTGAAAATTTCAAACTGAGTCTGGCCCCATAGCTTAGCGGTCAAGGGAGCTGGGTCCCACATGGCCAGATGCAGTTTGAATCTCAGCCCAGGTGGAACAGCGGACCTCTCCTCGGAAACAATGTGAGCAAGGAAAGAATGGGAAACTAGTCTCAAAGTGTTGAGTGAAAAAGAATTTCAACCAGGAATACACTACCCAGCAAGATCATCCTTCATATGGGAAGAGAAGACAAGAACATTCTCAGATAAACAAAACCTGAAAGAATTTACCAACTCCAGACCAGCTCTCCAAGAAGTGCTGAAGGGAGTGCTGTAGCAGGAAAACGAAAGTCAGACACACAGAAATAGGAGTGCAAAAACATCTAAGGAAATGGTCAGCTTATGGTAGGAACAAGTCCAGAGTTGAATGTTACCTTCCAGAATTTAAATGGAAACCTTGGGCCACAGCGGAAGATAAATTAAGTACATGAGACTGAGCTGGTGAAATAGAATTGTATGACTTGACTAAACCGTTACTGACCTTCTAAGCTTTGATTTCCAGAGTTAAAGAGTTCTGTCCTCTCTGGAGTTGTGGACAGGCCCATGTACCTACTATTTGAACAGAATCCTAACCTGTTTCCTGGCTTTCAGTTTTAAGGAAAGTTTTCTTAACATTGATTGATTTTGATTTACTAAAGCTAAAACTGCCTTTCTTGACATTAAAAAATAGATTTAAAAAATACCTATGTCATGACCACAGTAAACTATATAGCTTCAGCTAGGTGCTTCTTTCTAGTATGTTTATTCTATCCACAGAGTTTCATGCCCATAGTCCACATGTGTTCACAGATTATCAGCTCCACTTGCTATTGAAAGCAGTTAGATTAATTAAGATATTTTGTGAATCAATGAGACGTGAGGAAAAAAAATAAAGGAATGGAAAGGAAAAAAACAACCACAATAGGTATGGGTGCATGGGTGCCCAAATCTTGACAGGATGCAGAGATGGAGAAGGGACAGTGGAGTGACCACATCCCATCCATTGAGGGGGTTCTCTCTCTCTCTCTCTCTCTCTCTCTCTTTCCCTTGCCTCTCTCTAGCAACTGTACATGCTCTCTGGCAGTTAAAAAAAAATGAGAAGGCGAATCATTGCTCAGCCTTCGCTATCAAGTTTCTGATGAAGAAGTTAAGAGTTCGGCAAGACTTTAAGTTCTCTCCAGATGCTTCTGGCTCAGTGTCTGCATTCCTCGAGGAAGACAGCAAGGAGCTCTATGTCAGAGATGTTCAAGGGGCTGATCACTTCCACCCAGGAAGGAGATGCTCCATCAGTTCCACCTTCTGTCTCGGAAACCCTGCCTCAAGCCATGGTAGATCTTTAGCTGCAAAATAAGAACTTGGTGATACGATAAGGGTTGCTTTTGTTTCTAGCCCGTTTTAAATGAGACACCATGACAAGCTTGTGTCGGTGGCTACACCGTTTCATCCTGGGCTTTGTGTCTAATTCATGGGAAGTAAAGCTGGTGCGGTGTAAATAAAACACAATTATGTCACGTATCGTAGTGATATCACTCAGCTGAATCATCTGGACACAGCAAATGATGTTTTATTTTTGGAGAGGTTTTTGTTATAGGGCACATGTACTTACCAGAAAGAGAGAGACAGAGAGATAGAAAGTGAGAAATCACCCCCAGGGGGGATGGCCAAGCCGCAATCCCTTCTCCTCCATTCTCTTCTCGGGATCTTGGGCACGCACACACATGCACCTGGTGTGAGTTTAAGCCACCAGGTCCAGGACTTGAACCTCGGTCGACTACGTGGGAGTCCAGCCACATAGCCATTATGCCAACTGCTGGTCCCAAATGTAAACAGTTTTGTCTACTGTTAGAAGAGGGCATGACCATGGAATACTTCTCTGGATTCTTGGTTTCATTAAAGCGAAGAGACTTCAAGGAAGAAGCAAGTCAACCTTGTTTGTCCCGTTCACAGAGTGAGCGACGTGAGGTTGCAGAGGGGTGTGCAGTATACGGTGCTCCTGGAGGCTGGGCCACATGAGAAGCATGTGGGTTCATGTCCGGGAGACCCTTTCTGAGCATTCAGAGTACATGTGTGGTCTGGGGCTGTTGAGTCTCTCTCTCTCTGTCTGTCTCTCCTACTCATAGAAGAAAGAAAGAAAGAAAGAAAGAAAGAAAGAAAGAAAGAAAGAAAGAGAAAGAGAAAGAAAAGAAAGAAGGAGAGAGAGAGAAAAGAAAGAAGGAGAGAGAGAGAAAAGAAAGAGAAAGAAAGAAAGAAAGAAAGAAAGAAAGAAAGACAGAAAGAGAGAGAGAGAGAGAAAGAAAGAAAGCAAGAAAGAAAGAAAGACAAAAAGAAAGAAAGAAAGAGAAAGAAAAGAAAGAAGGAGAGAGAGAGAAAGAGAAAGAAAAGAAAGAGAAAGAAAGAAAGAAAGAAAGAAAAGAAAGAGAGAGAGAGAGAGAAAGAAAGAAAGAAAGAAAGAAAGAAAGAAAGAAAGAAAGAGAAAGAAAGAAAGAAAGAAAGAAAGAAAGAAAGAAAGAAAGAAAAAGAAGGAAGGAAGGAAGAAACTGGAAAAAGCAGCAGCAGCAGCACATTAAGAACAAACAGAGCTCAAGGCTGCAATGTCTCACGCTGCACACCTCTCTGCCACCTGCCAGGGAACCGAGCCAGCCCTCTGCCTGGCTGGGCAACCTAGTAAGTGACATTTACCACTAATTGTCACTACCCACATCAGCTCCAAGTCTCAACAGACAACTCGTGGCAGGGCGAGAAGTTAGGGCGGCAAAACCTAAGTTGAAGAGAGAAGAGAGTCAGATGACAAGGGGACCTTGGAAACCAGTGTCCCCCCCAGAAAAAGAGGGAGTCTCATTGGAAGGAAAGCAAACTGCTTGTGTGGCTCACAAGGCTGAACACACACGCTGAGCTCTACAAAACGAACAGGGAGAGAAGGACAGAAGAGCGCAAGCCTGTGACTCACGCTGGAGTAAGGAGACACCAGCCTCTCCGTTGAGGGGGGAACCAGGAAGAAGAGATGGCATGGCGGACTCCTCAGGAAAGCCTAGGGAATGGAAAGTGATCTGTCGGGTGAGGCTGCAAAATGAGAGATCCTGTGCTTGTCTTTGTGGGAGAAGTTGCACCCCCAGATACCCGTTCCAACTCTGCAGAGCTGGACAGCGCCCCGTGTCCCAGCAGAAAATGGACTGATTCATTAAAGGAAAGTATGTCAGGGAAGCTGGAAGGGTCTTTGCACGGTGATCCACGCCCAGTCTCAGTCAGTCCTGGATCATAGGGGGGTGCGTCTGGATGGAGGTCTCTAGATAGGATTCTAGAACTTGCCTGTGTGAGCCAGCCTTGCAGATGCTGCGTGACTGCTGGGCCACTGTCATGGCCCCAGGGGCTAGGGGAGGCTCGGAGGACCACAGCATGGAGAACCCCAAGAGGGCTGACTCTCTACACTCTTCTTTCTCTGTCTCCTGCTCTTCTTGCCACTGAGAAAAAAATGAGAAAAACAACTTAAAAACATGAGAGCTTTTGCTCTTAGCACACACCTGTTTTCTTGGTATGCTGAGGGAGGATTTTAGCTTAGGAAGGAGCCCTCCTCTCCTAGGGACACACCAGGAAGGGGTTTGTGCTTTCATTTCTCTAAGCACATTCCGTGTGTGGGTCTAGCGTGGACAGGAGAGGCTGTGCTCACCACAGAGAAGGAAGTGGGTATTTTGGAAATAAACACACAGGAAAGACGATGAAGCTCCTCTCCCAGCAATTGCTGAGACAAATGTCTTTTATTTCTTTTACAAAAAGGATTATTCATTTAATTTTATGTGTGTATGTGTTATTATTACTATTATTTTATTTTACTTGCACTCACCAGACAGAGACAGAGAGAGGGAAGGAAAATGAGAAAGCAAGCCGCCAGGTCCAGGACTCGAACTGCAGTCCATCATGTAGGAGTCCAGTGCCTTAACCACCACACAACCTGCTGCCTCCCAGGAGTATTTTTGGAGCGCAGACTGTCAGAGGTAGACAATGACTTTGGGAACTTGTGTAAGGAGTGTCTGAAAGAAAGAGGAAAGAAGTTGGCACACGCCAGTGTCTCAGTTCCTTTTTTCCCCTTGCCCTGTGCAGGAAGATGAGGCTCCTTCTCCTTCTGCTGCTCTGTCTGTGTGAAGCCCAGAGCCAGGTGGCAACGAGGCCCAATATCATTGTGCTGATGGCTGACGACCTCGGCATCGGAGACCCTGGCTGCTATGGCAACAAGACTCTCAGGTGGGTAATACAGCTCCCAAATACATGCAGACAGCCATCCCCAGGGGTGGCTCATGGGCCCAACCAACATGGGTCACAAGGAATCATTTTCAACCCCCTGAACAGCACACGCCCATGCTGGGCTTTACCTAGAGACAGCAAGGTGTGTGACACAGGAAGAGGGGTGTGAAGTTACCTATCTGTATGCAGTAAAATGCAAAGACAGGGAGCTCATCGGGAATGCACCCATCACCGTTCTTTCTTTTACTTTTTTTAAAGAATTATTTTATTTAACTTTATTTATTTTAATTTGACCAGAGAGGGACAGAGAGAGAGAGAGAGAGAAAGTGACAAAGCAAGCCACCAGGTTCGGGACTTGAACCATAGTCAACCATGTGGGAGTCAAGCGCCCTTAACTGCCTTGTTATCTGCCAGCCCCCATTGTTGCTTCTTACCATGGCTATGCTGCTTTGTATGTCTCATTTTCCTCCTTTTGTTCTACTTTTTCTTCTCTTTGGGGCATCTGGGTTTCTTTCTGTTACTTCTAAGCCTGCCCTGCCTCATCCTGGCATGTCAAACACTCACTCTTCCCACCATACCTGATGCCCCTTCATGCTGGGGCTCTTAGCCATCCTCAGCAGCATGGACTGTTAGAGTCTATCTGTTCTGGCTGCTGTAACAGAATAGGATAGCCAAGTGGCTAATCAACAGCCACTCATTGCTCACAGTTCTGGAGGCTGGAAGTCCAAGATCTAGCTAGGCAGGGCAGATTGAGTGTCTGGTGGGGACCCACTTCCTGACTCATGGATGGAACTTCTCACTGTATCATCACATGGAAGAAGGGATGAGGGGGCTCTCTGAGACGTCTTCCATGAGAGCACTCATGCCGTTCAGGAGGACTCCACCCTCATGACGTCATAAGGTCCCGAAGGTCCCACCTCCTAATACCATCACCTTCGGGGTGAAGATTTCAACATGTGAATATGAGGGGACACAGCTATTCAGATCATAGTATGGGCAGACAGTCATGGGGAGAGGTGTCATATTGTATTTTGGCATGACTCGGAAGGGCCAGGGGTGGTCATAACAGTAGGACAAACAAGGGAAGCCAGACTCTGGGCATCTCACACTTGGAGCTGAATATCTGCCCAGAGGACAGAGTTGTCTTCATGAGCCCTCTGTCTACAATTGACTTAACATAAGACATATTTTAGGAGCCTTTTAGTTTAAAAAAGAGATGAGCATAGTAGAATACTAGCATTTATTTTCTCCTTCTAATAATGAGGAAACAATGGCATAAAACAAATTCCATAGAGAACTTCACCACAAAAGCAATCAATACAAACTCAATTAAAGTAGGGAATGGAGAAAGAGCTCATTTTGCTTTTCTAGAATTTTCTCGTAGAATCTATGAATAATGAATGTCTGGAGCTGGGGGTGGACCCTTGGCCCAGTGCCATGGAACAGTGATTTATTTTCATAGCACTTACTCTGACTCCTCTTCTTCTCTTCTACATGACAAAGTGTATTTCGTTGTTACCTGTCACATCAACCAAAATCTAAATCAATTATTCTCTTAAGGAAAAAGTTGCCTTCAAGATGTAACCAAATATTTCTCAGTGACAACCTGCATCTTTGCATCAAATGCTGCTTTTTATTTTTAAAATGGTTACTGACCTATGACATGGGTTAGATTTTTTTTAAAAAGTATATAGAGAGAAGAGCTGCATGCATTGTTCTCTTAAAATTTTAACCAACCATGTTTGCTTCTGCCTTGTCTTTTGCTTTATTTCTAAAAAGTTTGAGGTCATTTTATTTTATTTATGCACACACATGATATATATATATATATATACACACACACACACACACACACACAACAACAACAACAACAAAGGATGAATGAGGGGCACTGTTATTTCTTCACAGTAGTGTGTGTCCTGGGCCCTGGACCATCTTGATCTGTTGGTTGGAACTTGTTCATAGCAGTCACAGGGTCTTCTTTGGCTGTGGTTGGCCAGAACACTCAAGCTGACCCTGGAGCTTTCTCCTTTGGGGCTGCAGAGTTAATGGGGAGGAGTGGACCTGACTAGAGGAGGATGAAACCTGCCCCTGCCCCATCCCTCACCCTCTCTCCTCACCCCCCATGACTGAGACTTAGTTTCTTTGTTCTCAGCCAGGGCTAGTGGGCACAGGAGCCCGAGTTCACTGAACACGTCACTGGATCCCCTAGGATGTCAATCCTGGATCTTGGTGGTGTTCCCAGTTTGAGTCCTACTTCTTTGTCACTTCTTCCTCAACTTCTCCCTTATCTCCCCCCTACAACCACCCTGCTGGCCTTGGTCAGTGGGAGGGTTTCCCTGATAAGAAAGCAAAGAGACAGCTCCATCTCGGAGGTCATCACAAATGACGTGATGCTTTCGTTCTAGGACTCCCGGTATTGACCGGCTGGCCAGCGAGGGAGTGAAACTCACGCAGCACCTGGCGGCATCCCCCCTGTGTACACCAAGCAGGGCGGCCTTCTTGACGGGCCGGTACCCCATCCGCTCAGGTAGCTGCCTGTCCCAAGCACTGTGGTCCTTGTCCTTCCCGTGCTGCCTCTCAGCTCCAAGGTTGTTCTGGATCTTGAGAGTTGGTTTGTCTTGTTTCAGGAATGGCAGCTGAGAACCGGCTGGGAGTTTTCCTCTTCACGGCATCTTCTGGGGGACTTCCAACCAGGGAGATCACTTTTGCCAGGCTTCTGAAAGATCAAGGCTACGCGACAGCATTGATAGGTATGTGGAAGGACGGCTGAGGTCGGACAGGAAGCCCTGGACAGTGTGAGCAGAGCAGCGAGAAAGGCTTCTGAATAGCTTTCTTAGGGGTGATGTCACAGATACTTTATACAACTTTAAATAGGGAAGACATAATTCCATTGTAAACCAAAGCACAATGAGCCTGGGCTGGCCCGTGGCCTGGTGGTTAAGACCCACATGGCTCACTGCACAGTTTAAGTGCTGGACCTTGTGACTTGAAAAATATACCATCAGCCTATCTGGGCTATTTGACTATATAGATACGTGTGAGTGAGTGTATGTGTGTGTGTGATTGTGTGTGTGTGCACATGTAGGTAGACTCTGGATTGATATAGGTAGGTAAACAGATAATGATAGAATTATAAATCAATGGATGGATAGATGGATGGACAGATACACAACTGGATGGATGCATGCATAGATCAAAGAAAGGATTAACGAATGGATAGATGGCACGCGATGGTTAGTTAGCTAGGTAACGAGGTGTGATTGGTACAGATGAATGACAAAGCATACACCTGTGTGTGTGTGAGTGTGCATGTGTAGATAGGTAGAGAGAGCAGTAGATAAGATCTGTAGATGTGATAGTGACACATGATAGAGAAATGGGACAGATGATAGGTTATAATAGATGTATGGAAGAGATGATAGGTAGATGGAGCATTAGTAGGTAGATAGATATGACAGATGACATATAGATTAATAGATGATAGACAGATGCAAGTGATGACAGATGGATAGGCAGGTATAGATAGGTAGGTGATTGATAGATAGATAGGTAGATAGATAGATAGGTAGATAGAGATAGAAGATAGAAGATAGATACATAGGATGGATTGATGTATAAATACATACATAGGAAGATGATAGATACATAGATAGATAATAGGTAGGTGACAGATAATAGGTAAGTAGATAGATAGATAGATAGATAGATAGATAGATAGATAGATATAGGAGAGATGATAGGTATAGATTGATGATATAGTTAGATGGATGATAGAGATGGATCAGAATGGATAGATGAAGAAAGACACATGATAAATGAGACAGACTTATGGATAAGAGGGGCATGATAGAAGATAGATGGATAAACAGACGACTATACACGCAGAGAGAGCATATAACACTACATGTACACACCATGCTATTGATAGATTTCCATCTAACACTTCACAACTAAAATCACGTCAGAATTTGTCTCTCTTGGCATTCCCACTAAGAGATCTCGTTGGTAGGAATGATGCATTCTCCCCTGTTAGTTCAACAAGCTCGAGATGAAGAAGGGCACCAGACGAATCCTACAACATCTCATAGGCCCGCAGTGACCCTTCTCTTTTTCCCCATATCATACTATAAAGCCCTCTTCCTATTTTTGTTGCCTCTTGTGAAGCATTTATTAATTTAGTGGTACGATTAACATTTTATAAGAAATTTTCCAGAGGCGTATGAGATAGTTGCTGAGTTACTGTGTATGATATCCTCTTGCCTCGGGGATAGGTTTCTAGGTAAAGATTCATTTTCTACCTTTTTTATTATTTTAACTCTGCCAGAGGATGCGTGTGCTTACAGGGGACAGGCAGAGAGAGACGGAAAGTGAGAAAACACCCCCATGGGCGTGGTCATACTATACTCCCTTTTCTATTTCTCCCTTCTTTCTGGATGTTGGGCACTCGCACCTGGCATTTTCTCAGGCTGCCAGGCCCAGAACACTAACTGCGTCATTGACCATCTGGGGGTCCTTTCTCCTCTGTTCTCCTCTCAGTACCTTGAGCACACACGCACACGCGCCTGGTGTGAGATTCAAGCCACTGGGTCTGGAACTCCAACCACAGTCTGCCATGTGGGAGTCCAGCGACATAACCATTACGCTGCCCACCTGCAGGTCTTGTTTCCCACTTTTAACATCCAAGATGGCAGGTGAAGTTGGTCCTAAAACTAATTTTAAGGAGCCGTCACAAACATCTGCTTATGAAAAACCACTTTTATCTTTCTATGAGGTTTTTGTTTCCTGCCTGTTAAAGGTGACGTTGCTTTTGCTTTTGCAATTGGTGATTTTGTTGTTGTTTTTTGGTAGCTAATATTCTAATGTTTGCATAAAAGGAAGTAAAAGATTTTAAGGTCCTGGGGTCAGATAGTGGCACAGTGTTCATGCAACTAGAGCCGCGTGGGAGGATGCCAGTTTGTGTCCCAGAGCTTCCCTGTAAATGACCGGCAAATGCATGTGCCTCTCATCCGGGCTAGTTGATGCTGCAGATGGGTCGTGGCATGATCCACCCTCCACCACCACCAAAAGAATAAATAAATGAAAGAGACCCGCGAGGTCTCTCGAATGGCAACCATTAGCTCATGAAATACACAGCCCATGCGAGTCAGAAGCTGCCATTCAAATCAGGCTGTTTCTCAGGACTCAAGGTTTGTTTGTTTGTTTGTTTGTTTTCTCACTTGTCTTCTCAGGGAAATGGCACCTCGGGTTGAACTGTCACAGCAAAGCTGACTTTTGTCACCACCCCATCCATCACGGCTTCGATTATTACTATGGGCTCCCAGGCACCAATCTGAGGGACTGCAAACCGGGAGGAGGCAGCGTCTTCACCACGGCCTTCAAGAGCATGGTGTTCATCCCTCTGCAGATCATCGGGGTGGCCGTGCTCACACTGGCGGTGGTCAACTGCCTGGGGCTGCTTCGAGTGCCGCACGCCGTCTTCTTCTGCCTGCTGCTGCTCGCGGCCCTGATCCTGGGGCTCTTCCTGGCCTTCCTGCATTACTTCCAGCCTCTGAACTGCTTCCTCATGAGGAACCTGGAGATTGTCCAGCAACCCATATCCTACGACAATCTCACCCAGAGGCTGACGACGGAAGCAGCCCAGTTCATACGACGGTGGGTTTTGTGTTTCCTTCTGGCGCACACATGAAAAAGAGTCTTAGTTATGTCCCACTGAGGTAGAAGCACCTGCATGGCTATTCCTTCTTTCTTTTCTTTTTTTAGAGAGATTTTTCCTATAGGGTGCATGCACTCACCAGAAAGACAGAACATGAGAAGTCACCCTCCTCCCAAGTGGCACAGCCACACTGTCATCCCTTCTCCTCCATTCTCCTCTCAGTATTTTGCACACACACACACACCCGGTATGAGCTTTAAGCTGCCCGATCTGGGACTCAAACCACAGTTGACTACGTGGGCGTCTGGTGATGTAGCCATTATGCCACTTGCTGGTTCCTCCTTCCCAGCATGGCTATTCTAACTGCACTGGCTCTTCCACGCTAGCTAGCTTACTCAATCCAGGTGTGCTGGAGCGGATGCAAGTGGTGACAGGGCACGTGTTTGATGGCCTCAGAAAGGTTATGATGCAGGGCTCTCCTTAGGGTGGCTTTGCCGACACTCCCCATGTTCTCTGCTTCTAAGGATCATGCCAGAAAAGTGTCTGCTGATGACAGAGGGGCACAGATACCACCATACGCTTTCATCTTCAGGGTGGGTGTTCAATCTAGAAGTTGTGCTTGTGATGCAAACCACACTGAGGGATGGACAAGAGCACCATGGCAGCCCCAGTTCACATCCCTGAGTCTCCTTGTCAATGTGGGGAGTGGCGTGCTCTGGGTTGGCAGAGATGGGGGTGAGCCATGGCTTGGAAGCCTTTTCTCTCTGGCCTGTCTCTCTCTTGCAGCAGAAATAGATAAACTTACAAAAACATAATGGGGAAAAGATCTTAAACATTGCACACTAGTGTGTGAGCAACGATGAGCATCAATAACCCTCTCTAAACTAGGTAAAAGGAATGATCTGTTTTAGGTTGTTTTTGTTGTTTTTTTTCTTAGGGAGATTTTGTTGCTATAGGGCATGTGTGCTCACTGGAGAGACAGAGAGACAGAAAGCCATAAATCACCCTCCGGAGGGGATGACCATGCTGCAATCCTTCCTCCTCCATTCTCTTCCCAGGATCTTGGGCACACACACACACACACACACACATACACACACACACACGTGCCCGGTGTGAGTTTTAAGCCACCAGGTCTGGGACTTCTGCGTTGCCCTGCTCCATGGGAGTCCAGCAACGGAGCCATTACGCCATCTGCTGGTCCCTGTTTCAGGTCTTGGAGGATGCATTTCATTCATAAATTGTGGAGGTTTGCAGTCAGCGTATGGAACAACTCTAAACAGAGGGACAGACAATAACCTGGAATTATATAGATGCATGTGTAAATAGCTATTCTATATTGCATGTATAGACATGTTTATATAAATATGCATACAGTTGGAGTCATGATTAAGGCGCTGGACTCCCACATGGATTGTGGCGTGAGTTCTGGACCCAGCAGCTTGAAGCTCACACTGGGTGTGGGTATGTGTGTACCCCAAATCCCAAGAGTAGAGGAGAAGGGATTGCAACGTGGCCCATCCCCCTTTTCTCTCTCTCTGCCTCTCTCCAGTGACTGCATGCTCCCTAGGACAAAGTTCTGAAAAAATAGAAAACGGAGTTAGGAGCCAGGGGATGACACAATGGTGATGCAGCAGGCATGGCACAAGCTCTGGGTTGAAATCCCAAGGCCTCCCTGAACACGTTGGGTGCATACAGGCATGCCACGGTCTGGGCTTTCCGAGTCTGGGGCTCACAGCATGAGGACCCTGCTTGTCGTGCCTGTCTCCTACCCATGAAGGAAGGAAATAAGCTAGCTTTCAAAATAAAACAGAGTGGGCCAGCCCATGATGTGGTGGTTAAGATGGCAGGATTCCACGTGGCTAACAATGCGGTTCAAGTCTCAGACTCAGTGGCTTGAGAGCATGCTGGGTGCACGTGCACGTGTGCCCAAAATTATGAAGGGAGGGAGAGATGGAGGACAAGGGATTGCAGTGACCGTTCCCCTTGAAGATGCTTTCTCATTTTCCCTCTCTTTCTGTCTCTGTCTTTCTCTGGTGAGCACATGGGCCCTCTGGTAAATTTAGAATACAATAAAACAGAGTTTGGGCCAGCCCCATAGCCTGATGATGAAGGGAGCCAGATCCCACATGGTTGGCCACAGGTTGAACTCCTGCCTGATAGCTTAAGAACCATGGCAGGCACATGTGTGTGTGCCCCAGGTCCTGGGAGGATGGACAAATGGTGGCGACGGGACTGCTGCTTGACCATGTCCTATGGGGAATGCTTTCACCTCTCTCGGTCTGCCTGCCTGTCTATCTGTCTGTGGTGAGCACACATGTCCTCTGGCAATTAAAAAAAAAGTGGAAAAGAGCTATTCAACTTTGTCAATATTGAAGTGGACCGTAGAGAGTTGGGTTCATTCTTTGTTCTTTCACTTACTCTAGTTTGGCAGTCAGTAGTAGGGTCTGAGTGAATGTCTGGCTGGAGAAAACGAGAGTGTCGTACGGGCATCTCAGCTCCCTTGCCCCAATGCAAAGAGCCCGGGTCCAATGCTCTCGCCTGGCCCTGAGGGAGACGGCGTCTCCACAGTTCTTTGAGAAGTTCCAATGTCAGGAATGTTGTCATTGCCATGGTGATGGAGAAATATCTGGATGTTCTGGAGGGGGGAAGCTCCATGGTGATGGGTGAATTCAGAGAGTTAATTTTATTTACAAAGTAGTTATTTTTTTAAGTTCAAGTCAAGGCTAAGTTTCAAAAATGTTTTGTCAACAGATAGAACAAGATTGATGTTTTAGCCATCTTCAATAGCGAGAGGTGATCCTCGGTGATTCTGTTTTGCAGCCAGCAAAATATGGTGACTCTAAGTTCACTGGAAGCGGTGTTGCATTGCCGGGAGAAGCAGTGAAGTTTAAAGAAGTCGCTTTGTATTATTCTCTGAAAATATGTGCACACTCACATTGAAGAGTGCATTAAAATGCACACATATGCACAAACAAAAAGAAAAGCATAACTAGGGTCAACAGGTGGCATAGTGATTAGGGCACTGGACTCCCACATTGCCAACCATGGTTTGAGTCCTGGACCTGGTGGTCGAAACTCAAGCTGGATGTGTGGGTGTGCATGCCCAAAATCCCAAGAAGAGAATGGAGGAGAATCATAAGGCCGCTATCCCCCTTGAGGGGCAGTTTCTCACTTTCTCTCTGTGTCTCTCTGGCGAGTGAATGTGTGCTATAGTAAGCGTCTTCTCCAAAAAAAGCAAAAACTGAAACAACCGTAACTGTATACACACCCTCATACTTGTATAGCTTATGGCTTAACCCAAACTCCCAGGGCATAGTTTGGTACTGGTCCCTGGCCTTTTGGGGGCTAGGCTGAGTATCGGTGCTGACTTGCCAGGCCACCTATCCGTAGGTGGGTGGCAGACCAGAAAGCTTGATCTGTGTTTGCAGTCACTCCCCATCAATCGCATTGCGTCCTGGGCTCTGCTTCCCATCGGACCCGTGGTGGCATTTGATTCTCATGGGACTGTGATTCCTGTTGTGTGATTGTTTCATTGTGTATTGCAATGTGGTCGTGGAAAAATGGGGTGCACGGTAGCTGGGATGCACTTGGGTCATCCCAGGACCACTCCGACCCCATCTGTGGAGGGATTGTCTTCCACAAGGCTGGTCTCTGGTGCCCAGAGAGTTGGGGACCACTAGCTTATGATAGCCAGTTATTGGATTCGTCCACTCACATGAACAATGCCGTGAGTGTTTCCCGGTAGGTAACGGAGTCTCAGCTCTTACCCAGCAGTGCCCCTGTGGTTGTCCATCTCTGTACCTCTGAATATCCTCCGTGGAAATGGCTAGACATCTTAGTGTGTGGGGGATGTTCCACATACACTGGCACATGGCTTGGACCCCGAGATCATGCCTGTCTCAAGGTGCAGTTTGCAAGCCCAGTCAGGGTGCAATAAATTCCCCTCGTCTGTGTTCGTCCTCTGAAACACACACAGCGGTACTTAGGATAGCTCAGAGTGGGGCCAGCTGCTGGCATAGTGGTTTAGGCAGCTGGATCCCACATGGCCAACGACGGTTTGAGTCATGGACCTGGTAGGTTGAAACTCACGCCAGGTACGTGTGCACATATGATCCAAATCCTGAGAGGAGAATGGAGGAGAAGGGATTGCAGCATGGCTACCCCTCCTGGGAGGTGATTTCTCCCCCCCCACCTCTCTCTCTCTCTCTCTCTCTCTCTCTGGTCAGTGCTCCCACCCTAGAGCAAAAGTAAAATAATAAATAAATAAAATAAAATCTCACTTTTCTTAAAAAAGAAAGATCACTCAGACGATGCTTTGTTGGATCTGTGATTGCTGCTAGCAGAACCCTGCCCCCTTTCTATCTAGTTCCTGTTTTTCTTTTTGCTGCAGGACATGTGCATTTGCCAGAGAGAGAGAGACAGAGAGAGGGAAAGTGAGAAATTATTCCCCGGGGGAAGAGCCATGCTGCAGTCCTTTCTCTTCCCTCAGGATTTTGGGCACACACGCGCATGCACCCAGTGTGATTTTTAAGCCCCCCAGGCCTGGGACTCAAACCTCTGAGCCTTGTGCCAGCAGAAAATTCATTTTTTTATACTATTATTTTATTTTATTTCATCTTATTCATTGTCCTTATTTTTAATTTATTGAAGTTGACCAGAGAGAGACACAGAAAGAGAGAAGGAAAATGAGAAAGCAAGCTGCCAGGTCTGAGACTCGAACCGTGGTCAGGCTTATGGGAGTCCAGCCACCTAACCACCACACTACCTGCTGGCGCCAGAAAATTCATTTTTTTAAGGTTTACTTGTATTTATTTCTTCCATGAGAGAGACGCAGAGACAAATAGACAGGCGGCCCTAGCACAGCCTGCACGCCACGATCCTCCCCCTCCCACAGCCAGCCAGGATCCCTGCACACGTGCATGTTCATCCAGTGAGTGGAGGGGCACCTCAGGGCGGGAGCACGACCTTCCCGTGTGACCTCAGCTTCGCGGAGGACTGCGTGAGCGCTGCTCCACCGTGACTGGCCAGAACGTGCGTTTAATAGATGTGTGATGTGTGGGTGGAAGGAACGCACTGCCGGGCGTGTCAGCCCACCTGCTGTTTGCAGTCGTGGTCGCGTGAACCCCGGCAGGGAGACTGTGGGTGCCGTTATCTGCCTGGTCCCACACTGTTCGTCAGCAGCAGCCGAGAGCTTGCTGAGAACGTCAGCAAACGCCTCTCTCCGTATTTGCATTACTCTCTATGTCCATTCAAGATGGAGTCAGAAAGGTCAGACGCTCGGATGAGGGAGGTCACCTGCAAGGCTGTCCGAAGCATAGAGAGCGGCGCACAGAAGGAGAGGAAGGAAAAAAAAAAACATTGCCCTCACCGTCCTCTCGCCTGGATGTTGGCTCCTGCCGTTATGGGATGTAAATCTTGCTCTTCTGAGATGGGCATGATCGCAGGTCGCTGGGAAGACGCAGGGCTGCCTTCCGTGTTTTTAACAAATGGAGCGAGCGGGCAGGAAGCGGCGGAAAGTTCCATCTTACCACGGTGTGCGAGACAGGGCCAATAAATTTTCAAAAGACTTGTTTACCCAAGTGCTGCAGCTAATAAAAAAGGAGTTACGCTGTTATGGAGAGATCCCCCTTCCCACCCACGTCCTGCCGTGTCATTCAGTTCTCAAGGGCGCGCAGATGAAGGGGAAGTCCAGTCTGTTCAGTGAGCCTGGCCACCAGGGAGATGCCCTTTTCTGCTCTTTCAAAGGGATGAGTAAGCCAGAGTCCTGTCACCCAAGAACAAGTCATTGGCCCACCCCAGGCATGAGTCCAGTGTATGTGGACCTGCCCATGCACTGTGTGTTCTATTCCTACGCCTGGATGAGAAATCTTCGTGGCATGGTGTGTTTGCAAGCTTGATATGCTTCTGTGTTTCAGGGCTTTCTATTGGTTTGTTTGTTTGTATTTTGTTTTTTTTGTCTGTTTCTTTACATTTATTTATTCATTTTTATTTTTTTAATTTGACCAGAGATAGAGAGACAGAGAGAGAGAGAGAGAGAGGGAGGGAAAGTGAGAAAGCAAACCACCAGGTCTGGACTCAAACTGTGATCAGCCAATGTGGGTGTGCCCAGCACCTTAGCCACCATGCCCCCTGCTGACCCCCTGGTTTCCTTTTTGTATCTATAAGCTTAATCACTCAACTCCAACCCTCGATGTAGACTCATAAGGTCTGTGGAAAGGGCTGGTATCTCTAATGTCTCTGCTATTAAATCAAACGTAAAACCAATATATTATAGAAAAATGATAGGAAAAAATTCTATAAATATGTGTATTTTACTAATCAGCATGTTAATCCCCTCCTCTTCTTCCACAAAGAGTCCTTGTGTCTTTCAAGAGGAAGTCGTATTTTGTAGTTTTGATTCAACTCATAAGTGATGGGTCTTTTCTCTTTTTTTTGATGTTCAGTGATCCATTCACGCACTCATTCCATGAGAGAAAGAGATGACAAGATTAGCAGCCCCAAACATTAGGGTCTTGGTGTTGTGCTTCACCCTGGTCTCAGCCAGCCTGGGTCACAGGCACAGACAGCCTGGTGTGGTCATGGACATCCCGGGACTTGAACCCAGGATGTTTCTCATGCAGATCCGGTTGCATTATCACTGTACCACTGCCTGGCCCCACCAAAGGGTGGGTCATTGACCAACTGCTCCTGCTTCCTTCCTCATGAACCAGGATTGATCTAGGGCTCCCTTATTTGCTCATTCTCCTGTCTGCATCATTCATGTTTTCTTTCTCATCTCCCATGTGAAGTTTGCTTCAGTCTTATGATCCTGTCAGTCATATTGACTACCACTGCAGTCTACAGGAGGTAGCCATCTTTTGGCGACATTATTATTATTATTATTTTTCTTTTTAACTTGTGAACAAGAAGATGCCCACCTAAACTTGGAGCATGCACGTTGAATCTGGATTGGAGCCCACAGTCGGACAGTCTGGACCACGTGGTCAACTCAGTCTCAGCCCACTCTGGCAGGCATATCCTGTCTTTCTCTGTGTTTGCAAGATTGACTTTTAAACTTCCTTATCTATTTCTCTTAACTTTAAATCTAAAAATAAATGGGAGAACAGATGAGAACGAAATTGCAGGGAAGTCGTACTCATACATAATGTAACTGTCTATTTAGGAAGGCGCATCAGGAGTGTAGTCTTGTGCGCGTTTGCAGGGATCGAAGCCAGTTTTCAGTTCCGTCTGCTCCTGGAGAAGGTGGTGCCGTTCGCCCAGGTGCGAATAAACCTTCCCCCCTAATGGCGAGGAAGGAGGCTGAACAGACTGCCTGCCGTGTAGACCACATGTCCCTGAGAGGTGAGGGCTTGGTTTCAGTTCCTGCCCATCCTTCAAGGTCAGCTCCCCGCACGGAAGTTGTAGCAGACATTCTAGTAAACGCATTGACCCCTGGGATAACAGGGACAGTGCTTCCATCTGAAATCAGCCTTGTGTCCTTTCTTCCCGAGCTGTAATGCTGAGACGTTGAGACCAGATGCTGTGGGTTCTGATCTCCTCCCTTCTCCTTGCAGTTCCTGCGAGAGGTGGGACAAGCCACATACATATTGGGTTCTGCCCAAAATTCCAAAGGGAGAAGCAGAAAAGAAGGGATTTCAGTGTGACCACCCCCTCCGCCGCCTGGAGGGTGGTTTCTCCTTTTTTCTTTTTCTAGTGAGGACACACACTTTCTAGCAAATACCTAGAAAGTAAATACACAAGAACATGGACATTTAGGGACCAGAAGTTTGTGTAAGGGTTATGTTACTGGGCTCCCATGTAGTCGACCGCGGCTCCAGTCCTGGACCCGGTGGCTTAAACTCATCCTGGCCACGTGTGTGTGCATAGTCAAGATCCCGAGAGGAAAATGGAGGAGAAGGGATTGCGGTGTGGCCATCTCCCCTAGGGGGGTGATTTCTTGCTTTCTGTCTCTCTGTCTCTCTCTGTCTGTCTGGCGAGTGCATGTACCCTATAGCAAAAACCTCTCCAAAAAAGAAAAGAAAAAAGACATTTAAAAAAGCAGTTGCTGTGTTTACTGGTTAGATGTGTGTGTGTGCACAGATAGAAACTGTTTTTTTTCCCTCCATGAGACTAGTGTAGTCATGGTGCTCAAATGCATATTAACCACCGTACAGAGAAGGAAGAGTAGAAACCACCTCCCCTGCTAAATAAAACCATGTGGGCCCTGTCCCTTTCTCTGAATGCAAGGCACCGTGTTAGATAACGCAGAGAGGGTTTTTTATGAGTGTTGGAACAGCATGGCGTAAGAGCCTAACCCTCATCGGGACAGCGGCGGGCGATCTTGTGTTGAGCTCGGCCTCTTCTCTCTCCCGCAGGAACACGAAGACTCCGTTCCTGCTCGTCCTGTCTTACCTGCATGTGCACACAGCTCACTTTGCCTCCAAGGCCTTTGCAGGCAGGAGTCAGCATGGAGTTTACGGAGACTCCGTGGAGGAGATGGACTGGAGTGTGGGTATGTACCGTGGGTCAGCGGCATACACAGATGGAGCGCCTGGCACTGGGCCCTTCCCGGCCCTTCTCAGTTCTCTTTCTTTCTTTCTTTCTTTCTTTCTTTCTTTCTTTCTTTCTTTTCTTCTTCTTTTGAGAGAGAGGTTTTTTGCTATAGGGCACATGCACTTGCCGGAAACAGAGAGAGAGAGACAGTCAGAGAGAAAGTAAGAAATCACCTCCCAGGGGAATGGCCACATTGCAATCTCCTCTCCTCCATTTTCCTCTTGGGATTTTAGGCATGCACGCATATGTTTCCAGTGTGGTTTTCAGGCCACCAGGTCTGGGACTCAAACCACAGTCAGCCACGTGGGCATCCAGTGCCTAAACCATTACACCATGGTTTACTTCTTAGGAATCTCTACTGCTGCTTCTGATGGCTTGATACACAGAATGTATGAGGGTTTTATTTGATTTATGAAACAAATCTAACATCATTTTTTAAGAGAGGTTTTGCTATAGGATATGTGTATTTGCTGGAGAGACGGAGACAGAGAGACAGCAAGAAATCATCCCCCAGGGTGGATGCCCACACCGCAATCCCTTCTCTTCCATTCGCCTCTCGGGATCTTGGGCACGCACACACACACGCCCAGCGTGAGTTTAAGCCACCGGGTCCGGGACTCAAACCGTGGTCGACTACATGGGAGTCCAGCGACATAGCCATTACAGCATCCGCTGGTCCATCTCACGTTCATTTTGAAAGGTGCATAGACCGTGAGAAGCATCGCCAGCTCTGTGTGTAGAACATCCGTGGTTGCTGATGGCTACACCGTGGGGCCAGCCCAGGTGTGGGCTGGTGAGGGAGTGGCAAGACTAAAGAAGGGGCCAAGTGCTAACCCTCAGCCTCACTTCACCTCACCACCATGAAGTACCGACAGCGCCCGTCAGCAGCAACGTCGGACACGTGGTGGCTTTGGGATCTGGGGTGCCCATAGGTGGCTTCAGCTTCACTCACCTCTTGGGACAATGGTCATTGAGGTCCTCATACTCTTCTTGCTGCTTCTGGGACTGCGGTTCTCTTCTTTCTTCCTGCCCCTTCTTCCACTTCCCACATGGCGCGTTTCGGATGTTCCTTATGGAGGCTCTGATTATAAAAATCTGCCTTCAGGGGACCCGCAGGTGGCGTGGTGGTTAAGGCCCTGCATTCCCACATCGTCAAGTTCAGTGTGGGAGTGTGTGTGTGTGTGTGTGTGTGTGTGTGTGTGTGTGTGTGCAAAGTCCCGAGAGGAGAATGGAAGAAAAGGGATTCCGGCATGGCCATTTTCCCAGGGGGTGAGCTCTCACTTTCTCTCTGTCTCTGTCTCTCTCTGTCTCTCTCTCTCTGTGTCTCTTTCCTGCCGGCACACATGCCCTGTGGCAAAACAAAAATAAATAAATAAATAAATAAGTAACTACCTTCCCCATTTATAGAGATCATTGTCGGCATGCTTTGCTTTGCACGGCTGAGTGAGCTCAGCTCCATCCCCTGGAGCCTAAGGACGGTCACCGTGTGTGGCTTGCACAAAGGAATGCAGTGTTAGTGGATTCTGAACGGCCCATGGAGGACCAGGCTCCCTTAACGACGTCCCATCTGGCTCTTCATTGCTTGCGTCCTCCGGACAGAATCGAGGCGCTAGAAGGCGAGGAGATGGCCATGCCACCAGAGATGGCCATGCCACCAGCCATCCGGGCTGCTTAGAGCTTCATGTATCTGTTTCCTTTCTCGTTTCTCGCTCTCATTCTCATTCTTCCTCCCCTTTTCTCTCTCGGTGCTCGCTCAAGAGTTTCTCACTTTTGGGACCAGCAGTTAGCGTCATGGCTATGTCGCTGGACTCCCACGTAGTCGACCACAGTTCACATCCTGGACCTGGTGGCTTAAACTCACGCCGGGCGCGTGTGCGTGCATGCCCAAGATCCTCAGAGGAGAATGGAAGAGAAGGGATTGCAGCGTGACCATCCCCCCTGGGGGGTGATTTCTCGCTTTCTGTCCCTCTGTCTCTCTGTCTGTCTGGCAAGCGCACGCACCCTATAGCGAAAACCTGTCAAAAAAAAAAAAAAAGGGTTTCTCACTTTTTCCTCTCGATGTTTTGCAAGCTCATGAGCGTGGCTGGCTACACAACTCTGTGTGTCTCTTGGGTGAAGCGGCAAATTGAAAGTGCAGGTGGTCCCCTACTGTGTCGATCGCAAGAACGAATTCTATTTTATTTTAAGTCAAGCAGGGAGCGCCGTCCTAAGAAACAAGGTGACTGGACCCTGGTTCTGACTTCTGACTGTTTCTTTACCTGTAAGATTTGCCTGCTGTCCAGTTTCTGAATTTGTACTTTCCCCATGCTCAGTCTGAAAGTAATTTTTTAAAAGAATTATTTTATTTCATTTCCTTCTTTACAATTAGTATTATTTTTATTTGACCAGAGAGCAACAGAGAGAGAAAGAGAAGGGAGGTGAGAAAGCAAGCTGCTAGGTCCAGACTTAGAATCATAGTTGGCCATGTGGGAGTGCAGCACCCTAGACACCATGCCACCTGCTGGCCCCCAAGTCTGAAACGATGAAGTGGAACATTCTAGAAACCAGCCACTCCCCAGTTGAAGTTACACACTGTTGTGATTCATGTCATGAGCTCTTGGGCTGTCCTGCTCCATCCCACCTGGGTTGGGAATTATCCCTGGGTGCGGAGAATTCACGCTGTACACCCCTCCTGCCCCGAGGGTCACCTACTAGCTATCTCAGTTCACCCATCAACTATACTTTTTTTATTTTTTCCTCCCAAGAGTTATTTGTTTATTTAATTCCATGTGTTGCCATTATTATTATTGTTTAATTTGACCAAAGAGAGAAAGAGAAAGTGAGAAAGCAAGCTGCCAGGTCTGGGACTAGAACCGCGGTCAGCCATGTGGGAATCCAGCGCCTTTAACCACCACGCCACCTGCTGGCCCCTCAACGGTACTTTTATTATAGTCTGTTGTCAGCATAGTTGTCTGTTATCAGTAGCCACTGCTGTTTATCTCTCACGGAGCCTCGTTTATAAGTTGGCCGTTCTCACAGGGACGCCAACATGTAGATCGGATCGGCTCCTATCTGTGCTTTCAGGGACCCACCGGGGATCTCGCAGCTTGTGCCCAGTGGGTTAAGGGGGCAACTTGATCTCTGGGAACATGACAGGTGTTTAAATCCCTAGGACTCTGGGCAGTCGTCTTGGGAGGAAAGAATTCAGAGTAGCCCAGAAGAAGTCTAGGTTTCTGTGTTCTCCGAAGGGCTGAGTCTGCAGAATGATCAAAGTGCGTATAAACGGTAAATAGGAACTAGGGAAAACAAAACGGGGACGTTCTCCCTAAGAAGATTAGGAAGGAAAGGCTTCTGTGCCTACGGCTTTTACATACGCTGCTGCAAGCCTGCCTCGATGTAGTTCATTCTCCTTTACGTGCTGCATGGAAATTGACTTACATTTTCCACACCTTACTAGTGTAAATCGTTTTTCTCTCTTTTGTCTTTTTTATTTTTTTAGAGGATTTTGCCATGGGCACTCACTGGGGGGAGAGAGACAGAGACAGTGACAGAGAAAGTGAGAAATCACACCCCCCCCCCAGGCACAATGGACACACCACCATCCTTGTCCTCCATTCTCCTGCTAGGATCTTGGGCACACACGTACGTGCACCTAGTGTGAATTTCAAGCCACCGGGTCCGGGACTAGAACCGCAGTCACCCATGTGGGAGTCCAGTGATGTAACGGTTATGCCCTCTGCTGGGCCCTATCATTTTTTCTCTTTAATGAATGCTTAATAATATATATACATGTATATGTATATATATTTACTTTGGCTATGAGCACTTGCCAGACAGAGAAAGAAAGAATGAGCAATCACCTCCCAGGAGGGATGGCCACACCGCAATCCCTTCTCTTCCTTTCTCTTTTCAGGATTTTGGGCGTGCATGTACATGTGCCTGGTGTGATCTTCAAGTCACCAGGTCTGGGACTTGAACCACATAGTCAGCCATGTGGGATCCAGTGCCTTAACCTCCACACCACCTACTGGCCCCAGTGAGTGTTGTTTTAGTGCCTCAGGTCCTGCGCACATGCTCTGTGTGTCCCGCTGACAAGCAGGCAAGCGTGTGCCACTGTCATCACCCTCATTAACTTCTTTCCACTGTAATGGCCCCCATGGCTACCCTCACACATAACGGGCGTAACTTCCAGCGTTGCCCTACCCTCGTTCCAGCTAGAATAGGAAGGGGAAGATTGTTCGTGCCTCAAAATCTGCATTCGATGCTGATACCATATTTATCGACGATTGCATTTGTGCTTGTTTGCCAAAAGATGAAAAGACACCGTCCCCTTAGGTCTGACATTCATTTCTGGGGATGTCTTGGTTGTTGTGGAAACCTCGGTGTTTTGATGAACATTCCTTCTTCCTGAAAAGGGCCTTGCATTTTCACGCAGATGGGAATTGCAGCGTGAACCACCGTGGAATCACAGACAGAGGGAGGCCAGCTTAGCAAGCTCTGCTGTGGGCCTAAAGGAGCCCTTTGAAGAGACACATGGTGAAGGAAGAAGCAGCAGCTCAGGGAGTCCCGGGCTCTTCCTGTCACATGTTTAGAACTGGAGCCATGACAGGGGACAAGACTTGTTCCACTCTAGGGGCACATGCACCTGGGAAGACATTTCTGTAACAAAGGACCCTTATGGTTTGGTCACCCTCCAGGACCAGTTAGTTTCTGTTCTTAGCCCTGTGATTGCCCTGGGGGCATACTGTTTCATTACGTCATTGAGAAAGTCATGACGTAATTTTTCTGTGCATCCTGACTTTCCCGACCACTCGGTAGTAACCAGGAAAGGCCTGAGTTCACAGGGTATGAAGGCTGTGGAAGACCAGCAGATGGCATAGTGGTTATGCCACTGGACCCCCACATAATTGACCATGGTTCAAGTCCCAGACCCGGTGACTTAAGACTCACAGCAGGCTTTCCCACCCTACCATTCCTAAT